GAGCACAATAATATTTAAAAGGTTTACACTTTTGCAGTTTGGTTACAGTAGGTCTTGAGGCTGTAGAATGGAAAAACCTGGGATTTTCTTCTTCATAGCAAAATGCTTGTAGAGTTTATGACCACGCCTCCTGGCTTATTCAGTTTGACACTACGATGTGAACCAAGAGATGAGGTCAGCGTTCGGCATGTGTGTGTGTTGGAGACACCAGTTTTATGGCTTCAGACTTCACCTGATAAACCTTTAGTTCAGGTGAAGATGTGTTTAATGGGCCTGAAAATAATATGGTTTGGTAACGTGTCAGGGTCACATTGATGTTATGTGTTTTTTTTTGCTACTGTGCAGCCATTGGAGACAATAAAACTGTAGCTTATGGGAATGACACATGCTAAATTATCTTACCAATGTTTACAGCGCACATTTTGTAACAGTGCCTGCAAAAAAAACATACTAGTCATCAAATTAATTTAGATTTGCAAGCCAACTACATGCAAATTAGTTGAATTAGTAAGAGAGAGGCGTGGTCCTGGACCTGAACTGTAGTTCTATTTTGTACATTACATTTAGCCGACGCTTTTATCCAAAGGGACTTACAATTGCTACATATGTCAGAGGACGCCTCTGGACGATGAACGAGGGGTTGGGTGTCTTGCTCAGGGACACAATGGTGGATGGTTCACAGTGGGAACTGAACCCGGGTCTCGCACCAAAGGCATGTGTCTTATCCACTGTTCCATCGCTCCACCCCCTCTATACAAGTGATTGAAGCTATCAGAACATGTGCAAACTAAACCTGTGTGGACTGTAAGAGGAGTTTGTTTTTTTAGCTTAATCTGCTTGATTAATTGATTGATTGATTGATTGAATTTCCCCCAGAGGTAACAGCTATGGGGAGAGGGAAGGACATTCGAAGCTTTGTCCAGCAGCAGTGAAAAAGCCCACTCATGTCAGCAGCCTGGATATACAAGTGATGAAGTCAGCTCCACCTGCACAGCACGGGGAGGCATGTTCCCACAGTCCCTGTGACTGGATGAACATTTATGAATATGAATTTGTCATGTGCACTGCAAGGGAACATGACAAATTATCACTCAGTTACCATCATCTGATCAAATATCGCTGCAGCAAAAGAACAATAGTTCAAAATAGTAGAAATAGAAATCCTCACACACACACACACACACACACACACACACACACACACACACACACACACAGTGATGTAGTGTGTGTTGGTGACCACATGGGGTCAGTGTTGTTCCTGGAGTGTTTCTTGTCGATTACAATTACTATATCTTTATTGATATCAGAATCAGAATCAGCTTTATTGCCAGGTATTTGTTCACATACGAGGATTTTGACTCTGGACAAGCTGGACATGATGTGCTTACTTATACAATAATACAATAAGACAATAATAATCAAACACAGGCTACAGTACAGAGAACACATATATACACACTATAAACAAGAACAGACAGATTGAGACAACAGTCCAGTGAGCAGAGTGCAAAGGAGCAGGAGCAAAATTATTATTACAATTATTGTTATTATTATGTACATGTCGGAGGTGGAAGTGATAAACAGGTGCACATACACGTACAAGCATACATGTACACAGTGTGATGAGTGCAAAAGATGCTGGAAGAAATAAGTATTATGTTTGGTGTTATGTACATGAAGTAGGTGGATTTGGTATACAGTATATACAATATACAATATGAACAGTATGAACAGCTCTGAAATAGAGAATGATGAATATATAGTAAGTGGTAGCTGGGTTACTGGGTTGTTTCTGACATTGAGTCAGAAATCAGCTGTTCATCAGAGTGATGGCTTGTGGGAAGAAACTGTTTCTGAGTCTGTTGGCGTACAGTGCTCTGTAGCGCCTGCCAGAGGGGAGGAGCTGGAACAGGTTGTGTCCGGGGTGAGATGGATCTGCAGTGATGTTTCCTGACTCTGGAAATGTAGAAGTCCTGAATGGAGGGCAGGTTGGCAACGATGATCTTGTAATAAGTTCAATCATTTTTAATCATGATGTTGTTGCATTGACAAATAATTCAAATACAATACAAATAAATTCATCTACAGCAGAATTTAATTTGTTTGTTTCAATACATTTTAAAAAAGAGTCAGGAAGTTGTTCTGTCAATCAAAGTTATCCATCACCTGATCCCACTGGTGCTCAACCATTTCTCAGTTATTCATGGCTGCATGGATCCATTCATCTGTTTGTGTGGTAGTTATTAGTATGTGTGTAATAATGTACATAATGTAATGTTTGTGTGTTTCCTTTGGGGTAACAGCACACTTTCTGTCCTCCTTCTTGGCTTGAATCAGATCCAGTTCTTTAGTCTTCACTCTGAGCTCTTTAAATCCTCACTTCATTAATATAATGAAACCAACAGTGTGGTAACAAAGGCCTGGGGGGGTCAGCATGTGTCAGAGGTCTCTCTCCTCCTAAAGCTTTTAGTATCTGAGAGAGAATTAAAGGAAACTCTGCCTACTGACGCCTTTAATGCTCGTCGCTCTCTTCAGGGACGCAGATCAGCATTTCTGTCTTTATTAGAGAACTGTAGAATATGAGGGGCCTCACTGAAGAGCTGCTGAAGAAACCTGGTTAATGACCAACAAACTGACAGAAATAAAAAAAATCTATATTATACATTTATGTAATAATGTATTTATGTACATTATATACATTTTGTATAAAAGGGGAAACAAACTGATTAATATGGTGAAACAAAGTCAAACATAACAAACAGGAAGGTGAAGTTCTCTTTTTTTTTTTTCTTCAGGGCAGGTTTGATTTAGGTTACAAATGAATGTGTAGAAACAAAGTTGTAAGACTTTTATGTTAAGTTCTAAGGAAGCGCTGAATATCCAGCAGTATCTCCACCATTGTCGTTTTGTGACTGCTTATTAGACGCCAACGCTTTCAGAAAAAGTGACAAATGTAGTTATTTGACACTAAAGGTACTGTTAGGCCACCACTATTATCTGTGTTGTGCAGCTGTGTGTTATGTTAAGCAGGATGTGCAAACCCTTGCTGAGTATTCGCTGGCCTACTTCCTGGTTCTGGCTGGTGATCTGATTGGTGCGGCGTCTGGCAACCTCCTCCAATCATCTACCGCCTCATCATCTCTTGTTTAAATAGGGCAGCTATTTAAACAAGAGATGATGAGTGATCTGTGTGAACTTGGCAGCTGTGATTGATGATGTAGAAGCTTTTGTTCAAGTGACAAGTGTTAGATCTTAGTGTCTGTGTGTTACCTTACCTTGTGAGTTGTGTTAAGGAAGCAGGCCAAGTATCTTAGTGGGGATTACTGATAAACTGATATGTTTGTAAACCCTGGCAATAATAAATAACTTAAATAATAAATAACTATAAAATAAAAAATATTCTGGTTCATGTTGCTTCCCTTTTCTCCACGAGTCAGGTCGTAACAGGTACCCTTCAGCTTCTCTGTGTCCTAGACTGTATAAAAGGTCTGTATGAGACCCTCTGGGGCATCTCGTACAGACCGGAAGTGCTAGCTAGCTATGTTCATGTTAAAGTAGTTGACAGCTGCCCGAGTCCCCGTGTCTTTAACATCAAATAATTACGCTTCGTCACGCTGTCTGAAAGCGTCGGTAATGATGCACTGAGATGAGAAGACGTTGCTCATTCAGGGGAACCACCTTTCCTACAGCTTTTGAAGGGCTGTTTCAAGCACACCACAGATTGTTTTTAATGTCTTTCAGAATTTTTAAGTAAAAAAGTAAGTAAAAACTCTCAGTTGAACTCGAAATAAAGCATTGCTGCAAAAAACTTTTATTTTGTAGGCACAATTACTTAAAAGGAAGTGATTATGTAAGTAACTGTATTTGTCATGACTAAGATCTATTTCAGCACCAGCCGCTATCAGAGTATTAAATTTATCTATTTGGCCAACAAGCGCCTCTTGCTGACCACTGCTGTCGGGAGACTTCACATCGGCCCCTGTGAACGAGCACTGCACTAGGTCCTTTTAAAAAGGTCATTTTGTTTAACATTTACATGCTTCCACTGGCTCAGATTCTGAAAAACAACAAAATATGTTACCATAATTATGCAGATGACACACAGATTTACATAACCATTTCACCGGGGGACTATGATCCCATACAGGCGCTGAGTAACTGTACTGAGCAGGTCAATGATTGGATGTGCCAGAATTTTCTTCAATTAAACAAAGATAAAACTGAAGTTATTGTTTTTGGAGCCAGGGAGGAACGATTGAAAGTCAGCGCTCGACTTCAATCTGAACACCAGAAATCTTGGTGTAGTCATGGACTCAGACCTGAATTTGAGGAGCCACGTTAAGACAATTACAAAGTCAGCCTACTATCACCTGAAGAATATATCAAGCATTAAAGGACTTATGTCTCAGCAGGACCTGGAAAAACTTATCCATGCACTTATCTTCAGTCGACTCGACTACTGTAACGGTGTCCTTACAGGCTCCCTAAGAAATCCATCAGACAGCTGCAGCTGATTCAGAACGCTGCTGCTCGAGTCCTCACTAAGACCAAAAAGGTGGATCACATCACTCCAGTTCTGAGGTCTTTACATTGGCTTCCTGTATGTCAAAGAATTGATTTCAAAATCCTGCTGTTAGTTTATAAAGCACTAAATGGTTTAGGGCCAAAATACATTTCTGATCTTCTGCTTCGTTCTGAACCATCCAGACCTCTCAGGTCGTCTGGGATCAGGTCTGCTTTCTGTCCCCAGAGTCAAAACTAAACAAGGAGAAGCAGCGTTCAGTTATTATGCTCCGTATATCTGGAACAAACTCCCAGATAACTGCAGGTCTGCTGAAACTGTCAGTTCTTTTAAATTAAGACTGAAGACTTTTCTTTTCACCGCTACCTTTAACTAGTAGATTGATAACTTACACTGCAGGTCCAGTTTTCATTTTCTTTGTTTTTAGATTTTCAGTGCCCTGATTGTACACAGCACTGTAACTTTTACTGTCCTGTTTTACCCCGTTTTTCATAATGTGTTTTATTTTTTCAATTTCCTTTTGTTGCTTTTATGTAAAGCACTTTGAATTGCCTTGTTGTTGAAATGTGCTATACATATAAACTTATAAACTTGCCATGCCTTATGAATTAGAAAAGCAAATAAACTGCAGCTGCGTCTCTGATAAACAGTTCAGTTACAGATTAAAGCTCAGTATTATTTCTGAATAAAGCTCACGTAGAATTTCTCAACACTTTGTTGTGTAAACCATCAAAGTCTGCCAGCATTTATGGGTCGCTTGATGGACCTGGCTCCTCGTTCGACAGAAGCGGCTGCCTCTGTAAGTAAAACAGAAAATCTGTCAGAGTCTCACCTGGAACAGATCACAGAATAAGTACAGAGGTAATATTTGGTGTGAATGTTTTAATCCTGTCTCTCCTCATAATGACACACCAAGCTGAGCTCAGAGAGATCAGGGAGGGAGGACTTCCACCATGACCTAACAACAGCACCATGACCAACAAAGAACAGACAAGAACAGCTGCAGGGCGACAACATGAGAGGAGGACGTTACAGATAGATCATGTTGATCATGTTGATCATTAGCAACGAGGATTATTGATTGATCCACAGTAAGATCAAGAAGTGAAGGCTGTCTCTTTGTCCCTTCTCTCCAGCTGTTCCCCAGGACCCTTCCTTTTAATTTTACATCCATTTCATATTTATCATTGCTAAGTTTACCGTGGGGCCCTGCACATTGAAAAACGTAAACTAAAGGGACACCAAGGGGTCTTCACCAAGCGTCCACATGTGACGAGTCGGGAGTGAGAATGTTTTGCCCTCAGACTTTTTCACCTGCTCAGCTGTTCTCACTTTCCTCATCAGTCACTCTCTATAAACCAGCCCAGATCATTTATTCCTTTGTCAGTTTGTCCTAGTTGCTGAGTTTCTGTCTTGAATGTTGACCCACGTCATTTGGCCCCCGCAGTTTACCATGTATTGATTATTTTGACAGGTAGATGTGGATGTATTCACCTCTGTCGGTTCCTGGTCTTCCCCCTGGAAAGACAATACAATTAAAGTGAGAAGAATTGAAGAACGCCGCTGTTCTTATACATATATTACTGCCCACCATGTAACAAATGTACACTATATTGCAAAGTATTGGGACACCCCTTCAAATCATTGAATTCAGGTGTTCCAATCACTTCATGGCCACAGGTGTATAAAATCAAGCACCTGGGCTGCAGACTGCTTCTACAAACATTTGAGAAAGAATGGGTCGCTCTCAGGAGCTCAGTGGTTTCAAGCGAGGTACCGTGCACAGTAATGTAATAAATAATGTGACTAGTTATATTATTACTGGGTGATAAAAGTAAAGTAATATTATCAGCCACATGTGCAATATGTCAATTCGTGAAATTTCCTCACTAGTAAATATTCCACTGTCAACTGTTAGTGGTGTTACAACAAAGTGGAAACTCAGCCACATAAAATCACAGAGCAGGGTCAGCGCATGCTGAGGCGCACAGAAAGCTGCCAACTTTCTGCGGAGACTAAGGATGCACGATAATTATCAATCCGATATAATATCCGCAGATATTGGGCATATTTTCAGAATCGGAATCATATCGGAAAATGAATTTTGGCCAAAGATTTAGCCGATGAGAATCAAAGTTGTTGTCGCGCTCTGGGCGCAATGTTGCTGCGCCTGGACAAAGCCACACAGACGCAACCGCAGGAATAAAATGTGGCACTGGCATATGAGGTATCCTCCCCCAAGTGAGATAATTTACTTATTTTTCAAGGGTGAATGGCCTTTTTTTGGTAGAATCAAATGTTATTTGTCTTGTTTAATAATCGGTTTCTAAAACAAATGAGTGTATTTGGGTAAAAGTAGTACAGGAAATATTTGCTATTCTCTTCAGTGAAATAAAAAAATATATGTAAAAATCATTATCGGCATCGGTCAAAATGAACATATCGGCATATCGAATATAGTGCATCCCTAGTGTAAAGCACGCCACCAGTGGCAGTGCTGGGCAACTTACTCAGAAATTTGTTACTAGTTACTTGTTGTTCATTAAATACTGATAATATTACTTTATATTATTACTGGGTGATAAAAGTAACTAGTCACATTATTTATTACATTACTATATTACTTTCACTACCACCCCCTCTCCAAACAAAGCTGTCCTGACTTTTTAACTAATATAGTATCCATAACAGCAGCAAGGAGTGTCGATTTTACAAAACACAAAGTTCTGTCAATGGCTGAAATAAAAAAATAAAGCATGTAAATCCCGCCTCGCTCCCTCGTTCTTCGTTCTTCCTTCTGTTTTGGCTAACAACATCAGGTCCGGTGCCACTGACCTGCAGCGCTGTCAGATGACGCATTCATGTCAAGGATGGTGCGTTCAGTAACTTGGATTAGTAACTTTAGCATTATCATTTTATCACTTTAACATTGGAAACAGTTTGGGGACCCCTTCCTTTTCCAACTTGACTGTGCACAAAGCGAGGTCCATAAAGACCTGGAGGAGCGAGTTCAGTGTGGAGAACTTGACTGGCCTGCACTGAGTCCTGATCCCAACCTGATAGAACACCTTTGGGATGAATTAGAGCGGAGACTGTGAGCCAGGCCTTCTCATCCATTTTTCTATTAAAACTGCTTCCCAACATATGATCTACTTTCTCAGTTTGAGCTCTTCTTCTAAACTTGTATGAAACCGTGCTGATGAAGATAATGATGGTCAGCTGAGCAGATATATGTTGAGCGAGCTGATTAGCTGACTGGTTAGCTCAGAAACAGACCTGTGATAGAGCTTCTCCGCCTACTTCTCCGGCTGTCTGTACCAAAGAGATGAAGTACCAAAAATACAGATCCATTTAGTAGGACAAAAGTGTAAACCTCCTGCAGCGGTTGATTATAGGCTTTTCTCATTTCTCAGGTTGTCCCCCTCGCCTCCTCGTTCGTGTGTGTGTGTGTGTGTGTGTGTGTGTGTGTGTGTGTGTGTGTGTGTGTGTGTGTGTGTGTGTGTGTGTGTATGTGTGTATGTGTGTATGTATATGTATAAATACACTCACCTAAAGGATTATTAGGAACACCTGTTCAATTTCTCATTAATGCAATTATCTAATCAACCAATCACATGGCAGTTGCTTCAATGCATTTAGGGGTGTGGTCCTGGTCAAGACAATCTCCTGAACTCCAAACTGAATGTCAGAATGGGAAAGAAAGACGGGCCGGTCTGAGTATTTCACAATCTGCTCAGTTACTGGGATTTTCACGCACAACCATTTCTAGGGTTTACAAAGAACGGTGTGAAAAGGGAAAAACATCCAGTATGCGGCAGTCCTGTGGGCGAAAATGCCTCGTTGATGCTAGAGGCCAGAGGAGAATGGGCCGACCGATTCAAGCTGATAGAAGAGCAACTTTGACTGAAATAACCACTCGTTACAACCGAGGTATGCGGCAAAGCATTTGTGAAGCCACAACACGCACAACCTTGAGGCGGATGGGCTACAACAGCAGAAGACCCCACCGGGTACCACTCATCTCCACTACAAATAAAGAGCTCACCAAAATTGGACAGTTGAAGACTGGAAAAATGTTGCCTGGTCTGATGAGTCTCGGTTTCTGTTGAGACATTCAGATGGTAGAGTCAGAATTTGGCGTAAACAGAATGAGAACATGGATCCATCATGCCTTGTTACCACTGTGCAGGCTGCTGGTGGTGGTGTAATGGTGTGGGGGATGTTTTCTTGGCCCCTTAGTGCCAATTGGGCATGGTTTAAATGCCACGGCCTACCTGAGCATTGTTTCTGACCATGTCCATCCCTTTATGGCCACCATGTACCCATCCTCTGATGGCTACTTCCAGCAGGATAACGCACCATGTCACAAAGCTCCAATCATTTCAAATTGGTTTCTTGAACATGACAATGAGTTCACTGTACTAAAATGGCCCCCACAGTCACCAGATCTCAACCCAATAGAGCATCTTTGGGATGTGGTGGAACGGGAGCTTCGTGCCCTGGATGTGCATCCCACAAATCTCCATCAACTGCAAGATGCTATCCATCAATATGGGCCAACATTTCTAAAGAATGCTTTCAGCACCTTGTTGAATCAACGCCACGTAGAATTAAGGCAGTTCTGAAGGTGAAAGGGGGTCAAACACAGTATTAGTGTGGGGTTCCTAATAATCCTTTAGGTGAGTGAGTGTGTGTGTGTGTGTGTGTATATATTAGTACTCCACTGCATTCTGAACCTTCCCTCAGTAAAATTATTTAATTATTATCAGCAAAAGTCATTTAAATTAAGCAACAGTACTCACAGTGCAGTAAAATGTTTCTTTATTATACTGTATCTGATGTTTCTGGATAAATATTCCTGCTGCATTAATGTGCATGTTGCATTTTAGCTGTAGATGTTTTAAATCCTTTGTATCATAGGGTAGTTTCATCTACAGCAATGCATGGTGGTCTATAATCATGGGGTGGTGATGGGGCAGTGGATCATCCACCATTGTGTCCCTGAGAAAGACACTTAACCCCTAGTTGCTCCAGAGGTGTGCGACCTCTGGCATAATTAGCTACGTAAGTCGCTTTGGATAAAAGCGTCAGGAGGTAGAGCGGGTTGCCTGTTAATCCGAAGGTCTGCGGTTCAATCCCGGCTCCCCCAGGCTGCATGTTGAAGTGTCCTTGGGGAAGATACTGAACCCTGAATTGCCCCTGGTGGCTTTTCCGCCAGTGTATGAATGTGTGTGAATGATAGTTTCTGTTTGAGCACTTAGGCTCAGTGTATAAATGTGAGTGAATGCAGATGTGGTGTAAAAGCACTTTGAGTGGTCGAAAAGGCTAGAAAGGCGCTATACAAGTACGGAGCGTTTACATCTAAATGAATAAATGTAATGTGTTTGTAGCGTCTCTGTCCTGCGAGAACCGCGTTTCTCTAAACAGCCAGAAGAACTGCCTGTTTTCAGCTTTGTGACGATGTATTTTCCAGCTGATCTAAGGGGGGGTGTGGTTTAAGAGTTTATTTAGCTGAAGAAGGAGGAGAAGGAACACTTCATATTGCAGATTATCTAAGTAACATCTGGAAACGGGGTTTTCACTGGACCGGAAGGAGATGAAAAACTGTTATCTGCAAAGTAACTAAAGCTGTCAAACAAATGCTACTAGTGCAGTAAAAGGAACTCTGAGATAAGAATAATAAATTATAAGTATGTCCACAGTTATGTCGTTCACTGACTCGTCCTTTTTTGCCATCTTGTAGGACACAGCAAGAATCCTGAGCTCCACCAAATCATCGGAACATATCACACCTACTTATTTAGATTTGTATTGTTTTTCTTTCTTTCTCTTTTTGTTTCCTGCTGTTTGTTTGTTTTGTGTGTGAGGAAATTGTTTGTGCTGTGTGTTTGTCATTTTTGATCATTAACAATGTTCCTTTTGTTTGTTAAATAAAGGAGGACTCCACTGTAATCAGTCTTTTCTACTGAATGCAGGAACACAGATACACTCGGACGCTCAGGACACCACATGCACGTGAAATTCTTTTTCTACACATTTGGTAGCCAAAATTAGTTTAAAGGAAAGTGCTGATAGAAAAACACATTACAAGCTTCTTCACCTGCTTACAGCTTGTTGTTATGGACCTTAAGACAAAATGAAGAAAAAGTAATTTTTGATGCTTTACCTGGGTTTCTGTTGTTTGTGGCTCCTCAGCAGATTTAATCAGGTCTTCGACAACATCAAAACACTCTTCCCATTGTTTTCTATGTATTTTGTCCTTGAATTTGTTGGTCAAATCTTCTTTTGCTGATTCCCTCAGCATCTCTTTCAGAACTTTCCCCTCCTCCTCCAAAAGCATTTTGGCATACAGAACTTTTCTGTTGCAATGACTTGATTTTCTACAGCATGTACTCCTTCCAAACAATGGCGTAATGAATGTCAGCAAAAGGATCCCAAAGAGTGAAAATCCACCAATAACCTGAAAAAGGATAAGTAATATTATAGCAACAGTTCTGTGTTGTTGCAGTCATTTCATTAAGACAGTACTAACACACACTGACATGATGGAAACACTCACCCTGGACTCGTTTATCAGTTCAGCGATGATGACTTGGTCGTTATCAGTGAGATTCCTCTTGTTTTTGCAGGCTACCTGTTTCTCTTGCTCAGACTGATTACTCTTACAACAAACATACCAGTCTCCATCGACTAACACAAAAGCAACCCAAAGCAGACCGAATAAAGCTGCTTTAAGGAGCTTACAAATGGAAGAGCAACATAACCTGATCATGTACGGCTGGCAGCAAAATCTAAAACCTGTGGCTTCCCTGTGACTGCAGCTACAGCATTCACAGCTTCCACAGCATCCAAATGGACATGAACACACAAATTTACAGACTGCCTGAAATGGCCTGTCTGTCGAGAGTATCAAGAGAAATATTATAACAACTGGCAGAAACAGGTAAACATAGCAGTCCAGGTCTTGTTGTTTGCAAGTGCATTCGAAGTCCCTGTCCAGCAAAAGACTGTAGGTAAACATCAGAATGATTGCAGCGTAGGTGCTGAGCCTCCCAGAAACTAGTTTAGTCAGTACGTTGTCCATCTCTGATGTACAGCTGGCATCAGCTGACAACCTGTAGCTTATAGCCTCTGAATATATACCAACATGAAACCGGTTTATCCTGTTTGTGTTTTTTTTAAGAAACCATTTATGTGCGTCACGTATGAACAGAAAGTGAAACATCCACATTCAGTCATATCAAAATACTTTTTCACACACTTGTCTGAGTCACCTTCAGTTATTACCTTGCTAAAAGACATATGTTTGTAAAGTTTGTGGTGTACTTCCCCCCCCTGGGTTTCATTCTAGGCTACATTCAGAGCTGCCTAAATACTCCATATGTGAAAATATTGACATGTACATGAAGGTTAATGGCATCCCATTCTTAATCTGTAGGGTTTAATACGGAGCCGGCCCACCCTTTGCAGCTATAACAGCTTCAGCTGTTCTGGGAAGGCTGTCCAAAAGGTTTCGGAGTGTGTTCATGGGAATATTTGACCATTCGTCTAGAAGCTCATTTGTGAGGTCAGACACACAGAAGGCCACACGACGTTTAGGTGTATACAGCTATTGACTCTGCAGAAAGTTGGTGACTTCTATGCACTGTGAGTCTCAGCATATACTGTGTGTGTATATATATATATAAATGGATATATATGAGTGTGTGTGTGTGTGTGTGTGTGTGTGTGTGTGTGTGGTGTGTGTGTGTGTGTGTGTGTGTGTACATGTATATATGCACAAGTGTGGTCAGATAACATTATCACAACTGAGGGGGCTGAACAAGATCCAGACTGACAAACTGGTGATGGCTAACCAACCAGACAGCATGTTGATGAACAAACAGCAGAAGGCAGTATAAATAGAGCAATCCCTAAAGACAGCAACACGAGAAGAAGCAACACGAGAAGCTCGAAAACACACCTCCCCACCTCATCTGACTGCGAGAGAGGTCTTCTGCCAATAATGATGGTAACGGCAAGACCTGCAAAAGGTAGCGTGAAAACAGCTGTCGTCGCTCATCTTTGTGGATCTTAGTGGACCACGTCCTCTGGCTTCTTCTCACTGTTTTCTCTGATGGTTTTGGTGACGACAACAAGAGTGATGCTGGAATAAAACTGTATGTACCAATACATTTACTCTGCTGCTCATTGCAGATTCTGAACTGTTATGTACTGGATACACTAGTGCAACACAGAAGGTGATGCATGTTCATTTTATAATGAACAGAAATGAGGAAATTATGTCAAATTTTTTAATCCATTGTGATCTGAAGCATTCACTGTATTTATTCTTTAAATGTTTTGAACCTCCTGTAGAGAGTTTTAATGCTAATGTTACCCTTTAATTCACATTTGCATCATAATCAGATGAAACTAAAAGATGTAATCATAACACTTGATTGAGCTGTGCTGAGTTCTGGGAGCTGATGAATGATAAACATTACAAGCACAGATCAAAACTCAATATAAAATTAGCCAACGGTATGTTGTGTAAATTAAACCATCGTAGAACATCTTTACTGCTCATCTGAGGAAAAGGAAAATATCCCGTTTGGAGAAAACAAAATTTCAAGTACAAAATAATTCAACATGAAGTCATAATAATAATAATAATAATGTACAGAGCTCATAATTGGTGTATAGAGTCTGACCAGAAGGACACATTAAGCTCACTGGGAAAAGAGACTAAAAGGACTAAGAGGCAAAAACCAGACCCAGACCAAAAGTATGTGGACAGAGTTGTCCACATACTTTTGAGCACAACAGAGCAGGATCGACGGTTAAACAGACCATCTTAATAAAAAAGTGTGTTGGATGGACAGTGCGCTGCAGAGAGGAGATTTATCATTAGTTTTTATGCAAATTCAGATACTCACTGTGGCGTATCCATCGTGCACTGCACAGCCGTATGGGCCAGGAGATATGACGGTTTGATTGCTTGCCCAATCAAACCGTCTTAGGCAGGAAGCCATTTTTTGGGTTCATTATCTTCAGACATATAACTCCTAGCTCCGAGATGTGGGCACAGACAGAGCAGTGAACCACAGATGCAAATGGCTGAAAGTCACAGACAGATGTCATATTTTTCATAACTGACCCTGTAAAATGGAAAAAAGGTCAAACCTGATGTTTGCACGGTTTCCAGTAGCTTTATCTTAATCGTGCCATTCAGTCTCTTTACCTCTCCTGAGCTCTGGGGGAGATTAGGAACATGCAACTTCTAATCCAGTAGCTCACAAAAGTGAGTACACCCATCATGTTTTAGTAAATATCTGATTCTATCTTTTCATGTCACAACACTGAAGAAATGACTCTTTGCTACAATTTAGTGAGTGTACAGCTTGTATAACCGTGTAAATTTGCTGTCCCCTCAAAATAACACATCACCCATTAATGGCTAAACCGCTGGCAACTATAATGTGTGAAGTGAAAATGTTTGAGTACAACATACAAGCATCAGTAAAGAAAGAGAACAATAGATACTACAAAGAGCAGTAATAAGACTAGTAAAAGCTCTTAACACTAACGGCATCGATGGGAGGGAAGCAATAAGAGAACAGGCTTTATCTGTGTGAAATTAATTTGGCAAACTGTTGATTGAAGTTACATTCACATGTAGCTTATCGCACAAGCAGGAAACTTTTGACCCTCAGTGATCAGGATGAGCTCAAAATAAATCAAACACAGACCTGCAAACCTCATCTTTAAAAAACAGTTACCAGTGTGCTCACAGGTTATTCTACTTCTTTACCTTAATGCTCTCTTTTAAACACTAACAATGCATTCTGATTAAAAATAAATCTTTCCACATGATTATTTCAGAAAATTAATTAAAATTTTATTTACATATTATCTGACAAATTCATATTTCATAACAAAAGTTACCTCAATGCACTGTAATTCTAGACCGCACTCTCTGCAGTATTATTACAAGCACAAAATGTAAATTATATAAATCAATAGAAGAATTTCTGTGTGTGTATAAATTAAAACATCGTAGATCGTCTTTCCTTCTTGTCTGATGAGCCTGGAGGCGGGGCCAAAAGGGGAATATCCTGTTTGGAGAAAACACAATTGAAAGTAAATGAAGAAGTGAATTTATTATGTGAATACAGAAAAAAGAAAGAAAGAACTTAAAGGTTTCTTATTTGTTATCTAGACTCTTGACCCTGTCATTGCCCAGAAGGATCCACCAAACTTACTAAAGAAAGAGACTGAGGAGCCATAAAAACCAGACCCAGAGTTCAGAGGAAATGCTGTGATTAACTGAACGTATATTGGAGCTTTCTAGCAGAGTTTCAGGAGCAGGACCACACATTAATCACGCCACTCCTAGCATTTCCATAGTGCCCCACCTAACCCATCTCCTCTTCTTCTCTCGTATTCTGCCTAGTAGTTACTAGTTACTTTACAGATTCAGATTTTTACACTCAAAACATATGAAGAGTTGTTTTTAATTTACAGCTACAGCTAACAGTGAATATTTTGGAAAAAGAGGTGCAGAGGGATCTCATCTGTGAGAATGTGAAGTTACTCTCCCCTCTTCGAAATTAGTAGTTTGGTGTAGCTAAGATTATAAGATATGCAGCAACCCAAAAGTTGATTCACAGTAGGGAGGACGTATGCTAGAATAAAGAGTTTCACCAACAGAGACCACACCATCAGCAGTTGCCGAAGCGCTCAGCCACGACGGACCCTCGAAAAGCATCCAGTTATCTGAGAGAACTGATCAGAAGGCCGAGGTGGCAGCTCCATTCTTAAAGTAGTGACAGTGCAGATATAAATCCAGCAGAGCACTACGTACTTTAGTTCACACTAATTGTGATAGGACGATACACGGGAGGCGGGAGGGTTGTGATGATGTATTAAATTGCTTCTTATTGAACTTTTTAGATACAAGTTCTTTATTCTGTCATTTTATTTCCACCTTTGTGCATTTTACTTGTTTTCCTAATAACACCAAAGGCAGATGCGCCACTGTGTGGTCTATAGAAACTCACTGAATGAACTCTATTGTATGTACTGTATGTAAAACAGAAAAAGAAAAGGTTTTCGTGTCTCTGATGCTGGTTGGAGGAGTAAAAACGGATGCAGCAGCGACCTCTGGTGACCTCTGTGTAGATTACCTGTCTGTCAACATGTCTGGATGGTTCGGACTTTCAGACCATTTACAGGAAGTTCGGTGGTTCCCTTGTAAATCAGAAACAATCAAATGCATTGAAAAAAGGATTATAAATCTCCCGTGACAGCTCATCTTTTAAAACAGACGGCCGCTGTAGAAGCAAACGGAGGAGCAGAAAGATCGCTTGCACTCTTCTCCTCCTTTCCTGCTGGTGACGATATGTAATATGTTGTCTTTGTGAGCTGGAACAACACAAGTGCAAAATACATAAAGACTAAACGAACATTAAGAAGTTAGACTGAACCATTGATTCACTGACTGTTTGATCGAGTGCTCCAAATCCAAAAATGGTGTTAAACACTTATCATCCTGCATTCAGGTGACTTATCATGTTTTTACTTATATAAAGGTGACAATTCAAACTCTGAACCTCTAACAGAATCTAAGTCAGTGCAGCTCACAGATCTGTTTCTCCTTGTGTCTTTGTTTGGTGAAGTAACCTCTTTGCACGGGGCTCCTTTTTACCTCAATGAGAAACTAATTCATTTTAAGTCCGTTAGAAACTCCTGGACTTTTACAGCTCTTGTGTTTCAGCAGCTTTTCTGCTCATATTCAAAATGCACATTCAGAGTTTCTCCTACATACAGTGAGGAAAATGAGTATTTGAACACCCTGCTATTTTGCAAGTTCTCCCACTGAGAAATCATGGAGGGGTCTGAAATTGTCATCGTAGCTGCATGTCCACTGTGAGAGACATAATCTAAAAAAAAAATAATCCAGAAATCACAATGTATGATTTTTTAACTATTTATTTGTATGATACAGCTGCAAATAAGTATTTGAACACCTGAGAAAATCAATGTTAATATTTGGTACAGTAGCCTTTGTTTGCAATTACAGAGGTCAAACGTTTCCTGTAGTTTTTCAGCAGGTTTGCACTGCAGGAGGGATTTTGACAGATCTTCTCTAGATCAGTCAGGTTTCTGGGCTGTCGCTGAGAAACACGGAGTTTGAGCTCCCTCCAAAGATTCTCTATTGGGTTTAGGTCTGGAGACTGGCCACGCCAGAACCTTGATATGCTTCTTACAGAGCCACTCCTTGGTTATCCTGGCTGTGTGCTTCGGGTCATTGTCATGTTGGAAGACCCGGCCTCGACCCATCTTCAATGCTCTAACTGAGGGAAGGAGGTTGTTCCCCAAAATCTGGCAATACATGGCCCCGGTCATCCTCTCCTTAATACAGTGCAGTCGCCCTGTCCCATGTGCAGAAAAACACCCCCAAAGCATGATGCTACCACCAGTCATGTTTAGCTTCTTCCATTTTCTAATGATTGCTCCAACAGTGGACCTTTTTTCACCAAGCTGCTTGGCAATTTCCCCGTAGCCCTTTCCAGCCTTGTGGAGGTGGACAATTTTGTCTCTAGTGTCTTTGGACAGCTCTTTGGTCTTGGCCATGTTAGTAGTTGGATTCTTACTGATTGTATGGGGTGGACAGGTGTCTTTATGCAGCTAACGACCTCAAACAGGTGCATCTAATTTAGGATAATAAATGGAGTGGAGGTGGACATTTTGAAGGCAGACTAACAGGTCTTTGAGTCAGAATTCTAGCTGATAGACAGGTGTTCAAATACTTATTTGCAGCTGCATCATACAAATAAATAGTAAAAAAATCATACATTGTGATTTCTGGATTATTTTTTTTAGATTATGTCTCTCACAGTGGACATGCACCTACGATGACAATTTCAGACCCCTCCATGATTTCTAAGTGGGAGAACTTGCAAAATAGCAGGGTGTTCAAATACTTATTTTCCTCACTGTATATGTGTTCTCTGACAGACAAAAGAGGTAACAATACGAGATTAATGTCATTATTTTATGAGAATTAATATAATATTTCTTTATCAGTCTACCTGTCCTGGACTCTGCTGTGCATTATGATGGTAGTTTCTGACAGACCCAGAAGCCTTTGGGACTGCATGTTAGGATGAGACACGGAGGTGGGAACCCAAACTAACTGAAAACACCTGTAATCAGGCAGAAACGTCACCACAAATCCACACATATTAACTTCAGCACCTCCGATAAAGTGCAGCTCACAGTCAGTTTTTAGCTACATCACCACGCGGTCACGGCGTGAGAGCGGGTCCACTTGGTTACAATTCCGGCTTACGCTGGTGTCACATCAGCTGGGTGGAGCTGATTCGCGAGTCGACATTATCAGTTATACGTTTTGTTCTTTACTGCGTGGCGTGACGGAGCGTGAAAAGAGTCAATGTGGGAGTCACATGCCTACCCACCATCTAACAAATGTAGTTTTAAATAAAAAGTGATCTCCAAATAAAACTGCTTCCCTGCTCAGAAACAGACCTGGGCTCCACCTGCCGCTCCGCCTGCTGCTCCGCCTGCCGCTCCTGTTGTGGTCTTGTCTTTTTCTTTTTCCTTTTTCTTCTTCCAGTCCTCCCAATGTTTTTGGTGATGTTCAGAAAGTGTCAGGTCACTGGAGTCTTTCATCAGCTCTGCAGCAACATCAAAAGGGCCTTTCCAGGTTTTGGTGCCTATCTTGTTAATGAGGCTTTCAGTCAACTTTTCCTTTGCTGATTTCCTCAGAATCTCTTTCAGTACTTTTCCCTCCTCCTCCAAAATCAATTTTTCATACAGAACTTTTCTGTTGCTAGAACTTGATTCTGCACAGCATTTAGTCCATTGAATCAGCGGCATAAGCGACGCCATCAGAATGATACCAACGAGTATAAATCCACCAATAACCTGAAAGAGAAACAAAGACTCTTGCAGTTATTTCATTAAGACAGTTTTAGCTGATCAAGACAACGCTGACCTGATGGAAACACTCACCCTGGACTCGTTTTTCAGTTCAGCGATGAGGACTCGCTCCTCATCGCTGAACTTTTCCTTGTCTTTGCAGGCTACCTGTGCCGTTGTATTAGACTTATCCTGACAGCAAACAAACCAGTCTGCTTCAATTAACACAAAAGCAACCCAGAGCAGACCGACTAACAACGCTTTAAGAAGCTTACACATGGCAGAAACCAAAAAGCTGCCGGCGTGGAGCCGCTCACTGTCTTGGAAGGCACCTGAACACAAGAATCTACAGACTCTCTGAAATGGCCTGTCTGTCCAGAGTATTAAGAGAAATATTATAACAACTGGCAGAAACAGGTACAAATAGCAGTCACGGTCTTGTGGTTTGCAGGTACACGCAAAGTCCCTGTCCAGCAAAAGACTGTAGGTAAACATCAGAATGATTGCAGCGTAGGTGCTGAGCCTCCCAGAAACTAGTTTAGTCAGTACGTTGTCCATCTCTGATGTACAGCTGGCATCAGCTGACAATCTGCAGCCTATACCCTCTGAACATATACCAACATGAAACCATGCATTTCCTGTTTTTTTTTTGTTTTTTTTTAAAGAAATCTATGTTATGTGTTGCAGATGAACACAAAGTAACTCATCCACATTTGAAACTGCAAGTATCTTCTTGGTTTGGTGTTTTTGTTCCTCAAACGTTGACCAAAATAGCTTTGATCGACTCCTCCAGGCCTAAATCATCGTTAGTTTGTTCTCTTGTAGGCTATAAAACTGAATATGTGAGACCTGGCTGAGCTGTTAGAATTTAAATTTTGTGATTTGTCCTGCAAAATAAAGTTTGATAAAAAAGGGCTACCGGTTCTGAGACCAGATCCTTGTGGTTGTGGGGGCAACAAAAGCAGTCTGATGTTTTGGAGTAGAAAGTCATTATTTGGCTTAGAAATGCAATGAAGTAAAAGTAAGGGTATCAACAACTGGAAATAGTCAAGCAAAGTACAAATCCGAAAAAAACCCTACTTTTTGCTTACTTGTTATTTACAACAGTAATAGACAGCGGCAGCGCCTTGTGCCATAGCTTAGCAAGAGGAACTAAAGGGGGGCGTGGCTTGGCGGAGGGTGAATTTCAGAAACATTTTTGTCTTAATCAAACATGTGGCCCTCTAAATGAATCAACTTCACCTCCGTCCACCAGCCTAAACTGATGTCAGATATTTCTGAGGAATCTGCTGCTAGTTTGAGGATTTATTTATCAATGAGACATTAAGTTCATGAGAAGCCTCCTGACTTCTTCAGGTAACTCCACATGTAGCTTTGTCATGAGGAACTCGCCACTCCTGCTCAGTGCTGAGTTCCTTTCTCTTTAGCTGAGCGGGTCTGACAGACTGGGAGCTTTCTGTCTCTGATGGAATTTATTTTCTTCCCCTTTCTTTGTTCTTCTTGTTCCTTGTTGAAATGGTTTCCCTGATTGTGGTCTTCAGTTTGAAGATGTGAAAATGAATCAGGCGCATGTGCACATGGTTGTGAAACTTTCAGTACTATGTGGTTTGTAAACTGGCGGTGCAGTCTCACTACTGACTGCACACGGTTGTTGTCATTTAAGGGAGGGTCGTGCAAAACATAGACGTTGATTATGTGTTCTGCTGGATTTAGTGAAGTTTTGACAGCTGTCAGTTTTATGGTGAAAATTCTAGAGGGTAAAGAAATGAAGCAATTAAATACTGACACTTAGAAAACATGAAGCCAGCGAGGCTGTGCAGTGAGTAAACTTCACTCCCGACACCTTAAGAGACGCACTGGTGACACCAGTGCCCGTGGGGTTTAGCCTCCTTGTCAGCAGGCGGCCGTCTGTACCTGTGGTCACCGGCTCGAGTCCGGCCCGTGCAGTACATTCTCAGAAGCAGCTGCATACACTCACTTAAATCTTCTTTTCAAATTTGTTTGTTGACTCCTTCTTATCAGCGCTACTGCGGGACCCGGGCCGCCACAAATAAATCAGTGTGTGGGAAACGCCTACTGTAGAGGTCATCCAGCTGGATCTTGAAGTCAAATGAATGTGCTGAAGGCTGCAGAACATAACGTGAGGCTACACGCTGCAACATTATCCTCACTTTGTTATGAGACCAGTAACAGCTGGCATGGGTCTCAGTTATTGTTGACAGTTTAAGACATAGGCCTTTGCATAGTAGCAAGTTATGGCATAAGAGAAAGGGCTTAATAGCCAGTGGTAACTTGATAAGATCCTTTATCCGTCATGGTCTGTGATTTCTTTTTTTATGGCACTTTATAGCTCATTTCAACAATCCGAAACATAAAACGGTGAAACAGCATCAGATTACAGCAAAGCCAAAATAAAACAAACCAATAGAAAGAAGGAAATTGTGAGTTTTATTCAGGTATCATAATGTGCGTCTGTATTGGAAGGATTTTGCTAAATATGGTCAATGGAGTTTGAGTTTGAGAACGTGCCTCAAGGAATTGTGGGACGGGTTACCCATTTTCAACAAACACAACATCCCTGTGTTTTTTAAACCCAAGAACACACTAAGACAGATGCTGGTCCACCCCAAAGACCGCACACCCAAACACAAGAAAAGCAATCTAGTGTATGCGGTCCAATGCAGTGAGGAATGCACAGACCTGTATATTGGGGAGACTAAACAACCACGACACAAACGCATGGCTCAACACAGAAGGGCCAACTCCTCAGGTCAAGACTCTGCAGTCTACTTACATCTGAAGGACAGAGGACACTCGTTTGAGGACCACCAGGTGCACATTTTAGACAGAGAAGATGGATGGTTTGAAAGAGGTGTCAAGGAAGCCATCTACACCAGGGTGGAGAAGCCGTCCTTGAACAGAGGAGGGGGTCTACGCCACCACTTGTGGTCCATAATATGTGCCAATGATGGTCATTCAGACTTGGCCTCGGGTGTCTGCAATGACCATCAATTACAACAGCAACGATTTCATTAATCTGACGCTTTTATCCAAAGCGACTTACAACAGCTCTACATGTCAGAGGTCACACGCCTCTGGAGCAACGAGGGGTTAAGTGTCTTGCTCAGGGACACAATGGTGAACGTGTCACAGTGGGGAGCTGAACCAAGGACTCTCACACCAAAGGCATGCATCTAATCCACTACGCCATCACCACCGCCAATGAACCTAGAAGTATCTTGACATAAATAGCTGAGTTTTCCTACCAGTCAGTCAGAACTAAAGAAGCTACTTGGATGATAAGTGAAAAGTCTTCCTGTAACTTTAATCTGTCCAGTTGCCCTTTGATTTGAACCTTTCTTGTAACACTGTAGTCCTTATTTTATATTTTTTTTAATAATACAGATTTTTAAATGACGTCTCTTTTCACACACTTACTGTATATACATTGAATGTCAAGTTTAAGTATCATTAAATCAATAAAAAAGTAGAAACATGCTTGTTTTCAATTATATTGGAGAGCTGTCTTAAACTTTAATCTTGTTCTCCTGGAGAGTTCTGAGAAACTCATTAATCTTCTGTTTGAGTGACAGAATCAACACAGTAAGTAAAATGTGCTCACATCCAAAGTAAACCCAGTCAGTAAAATTCATCTAAAATTGGAAAAGTAAAGAATCATAAATAGGAAATTCAGTTGAGTAAAAAATAAAAATACTTTAATGTATTTAAATTTGAAGTGAAGAGGAAGAAAAGTTGAACGTTTCTAATAGAAATCCTCTTCCCTGAACTGAAGCTCTGAACTGAAGATTTGGAGTAAAAGCTGAAGCAGCAGCGGCCTCTAGTGGCGTCTGGATACGTGACACGCTGTCACTGCTGCTTTTTTTTTTTTTTTTTTCTGCTTAATTCCTTACCTGTTCCTGTTCCTATCCTACCTATTGATGTTGTTCGTCCTGCTCAGAAATGGTTGGTCTAGATCTTTTAATCAGTTCTTCAGCAACATCAAAACACTCCTCCCATTGTTCTCCACGTATTCTCTCCTTGACTTCTCTAGCCAACTTTTCATTTGCTGATATCCTCAGAATCTCTTTCAGGACCTTTTCCTCCTCCTCCAAAATCTGTTCACCAAACAGTTTTTTTCTTGAACATTTCCTCCATCCAAATGATGACATCAGGGCTGGCACACAAACGATACCAAGAGCAAAAAGGAGCCAATAGCCTGAAAAAGAAAGATCAGACTGTATTCTTATTTCCTGCAGGTTAATGCGCACAATGTCAATAAAGATAAAACACTCACCCATGACTCGTTTTCAGTTCAGTGATGATCACTCTTCAGTCATCTTCCTCGTGGCTCCTGTTGTTCAGAGCGATCATTCTGGCAGCAAACATACCAGCTGCCATCGATGAACACAAACACAACCCACAGCAGACCGATGAAAGCTGCACCTGAACACAGGAGTCTGCAGACTCTCTGAAATGACCTGTCTGTCCAGAGTCTAAAGAGAAAGATTATAAAAACAGGCAGAACCAGGGAGAAAATGCAGTGAATGTTTTGTGGTTTCCAAGAGCACGAAAAGTCCCGGCCGAGCAAGATAAAAATAGCAATTATTACGACGTAGATGCAGAACTTTCTGATCATGATTTGAAATTTCTCTACACGCTCCATCTCTGTAAAGTTGACATCAGCTGAGAACCTGCAGCTTAAAACTTCTGAACATATATAAACAGGACACCAAGTATTTTCTGTTTTTTGACACATGCACATTTGAAGCACTGATTTGTGTTTTTGCTGCTTAAACAAAAAAAAAATAGGAAAGTCGTATGAAAAGTAAAGTATGTTTTATTCAGCCATCAGATCTGAGTTGCAATGCAGTTGTTGTATTTTGTGATATTTCTTATCTTGTTAAATCTGCAAACTCACGTTGGACGGACATTTTCTTCCAGGTTCATTCCCACTGAGAGAAAAGTTTAATTGAACCACGAGGGTGCATTTTAAGAGGAAAGTAGAGGAGAAGAGACATGTTTCGGTTGCTGTACTAAGGTCTTGGCCACAGCAGCGTTAAAAAAGTGACATTTTCAATCAAAATCTATCAATTTCAGTAGAGGCTGATTCACTTGCCAGGTCAAAGTAAAACTAAAGCTAACCATCTCGACAAGGTGAGCTCCGAGAGAGCCACCGAATGTCTAATGAAAATACAAAAAGAACCAAAAAGGATTAGTGGTGTTCCCTCGTGTGCAGTTAATTTAGGATGTCTAGGTGCCGCTGGTGTGTGCTTTCTAGGGTTAAGCAAGGAGTTGGCTGAAACGAGTATCCGGTACAGATAATGAACTTTTTACGAATACGAAAAAAATATGAAAAAAACAGCAACCAACTTCTGGTCTGCCCACAAAGTTAATTCACATCAACAAGCAGTTCATTTTGCACACATTTATCTGAAGAGCAAAGGGCTTAGCTCTGTTAGCATTATGAGCTAATTCTACAAAAGTGTGGTCAAGCAGGCTCCTACTTTAAGACCAGGTGTGTCTTTGATTTGGTGACGTGCTGAGGAGGTTTACTGCTCTAATGCGAGCAGTAGGTTTTGGCTTATTGTTAGTAATAATTACTCAAGGTGGTTTATTTGTCATTATAGAAAGTTGTAAAAAAAAAAAAGAAATAAGGATTGTAGTCCTTCATGCTACACACACAGATCTTAAGATAATTACCTGTAGCCTGTAATAAAATATGAAAACATATAAATAAATAAAACAATATAGACAGTAATTTATAGATATAGATGCTGGGCCAGCATGGATCTCTGTCTGGTGATCCGCTGCGGTTTAATCCAAAACCCTGGCTTCCTTTTCCGGAGACCGTCTTTCTGTCCTATAACAGGTGTTTGAGCTAATAAAGCCGAAAAGTGACGCAAACAAAAGTGTAGCAAAGTTTGAAAGAGGCACTGGCTGCTGCTGCCTCTGCATGTGTTGCCGTTGCCACAGCGAGGTGTCAGTGTCAGCCCGGTAAACTGCGACGTGAATGGTTCCACCAGAACTGGCGTTTAGTTTAGACCATTTAGTGGCAACACCTTACTTGTAACCCAGAGACAGAAATTTTCCTTCGTGCTAAGAGTCTCCCACACAGAGATGGAAAAATGGGCAGCGTAAGGATCTGAGCGACTTTGATGAGCTGTGATGGCTGGACGACTGGGTCAGAACATCTCCAAACCGGTCTGCGGGGGGTCAGAAGTGGTCCAAGGAAGGAGCGTCATGGAGGGCGAAGGCTTATTGATGCACGTGGGGAGTGAAGGCCCGTGTGCTCCGAACCAACAGACGAGCTGCTGTAGGTCAAACTGCTGAAGAAGTTGATGCTGGTTCTGATAGAAAGGTGTCAGAACACACAGGGCCTCAACGGGTCGGAGCTGTTTTGGCAGCAAAAAGGAGACCGCCGGGTAGTCCTGGAGTTACGGCTGATCGGTGTAGATTTGATTGTCCATGTTATCTCATGATATTACAGTGTGTATGTGTTTGTACTGCAGGCAGAATACAGTTGTGGGTAATGCGGTCATGGAACGCGTGCAGGACTCCTGCTGAGAATATTCAGTGGCAGCACGCGACGTGTTCCCCAGAACAAGTGTGAAGATCAATTTCTGATTCCTGTCAGCAACTTCCCTTCATGCCTACCGCTGCTATTCTTCTTCCTCTTTCTTTGTCTGCTGAAATGTTTCAACGTGAGTGTGGTCTCTCGTTTGAAGATGTGAAAACTCATTTAGTAATCATCCAGATATCCTGTGGTTTTAAGATCATATCCATGATTCATCTATAATCCCCGCTCAGTACAGGTCAATACAAAACAGACAACATGGTAAAAACAAAGTCATAGTACACTACACCACGATATACAAAACAGTCATTATGTTACAGTACGCAGGTCACAAACTGGTTTCCGAGTGAATCATAAGGTGACAGTATTCTGTTTTAGGGTGCAGTAAAGGGCTATTCAAGCGTTACAGTGCTGTTCCATGCAATCAAGTCTAACTCATTGTATTAAAGCGTTTAATCAGTGCATTAAAGTGCTGCATCTAGTGCGGGACCACACAGCTGGGTGACGACTGTATGATCCCACGACAAGGGGCCCCGCTGAAGGGCAGAGTCACGGAGGGTCAATGTACATAAAGGCCAGACAATTTGTAGATATCATCTGTAAACACACACACACACACACACACACACACACACACACACACACACACACACACACACACACACACACACACACACACACACACACACACACACACACACACTCTCAGATTAATGTGTTCACTTAATGGAGGTGGAGTTGAGTCCATGGAGGATCTTACTGCATATGGAGAGCAGGGAAATTTCAAACACTTTTGATTTCACTTTGCAAGTTTCTGAAGGACGAGGCAGAAATGAAAAGATGTTTTTTATTGAAGATTTTTACGGCTCTTTAAAAAAGTAACCATTGGTTTGAGTGTTATTTTCCAGAACAGAGAGCAGTTGTTTGAACTAGTTTTTCTAAAATCTTTGCCATAAAAGTGTTTGTTAATTAACTGAATACTATTTGCTATTAGTTTTATATTATTATTGAATTATTTTGTATAATTGTACATTTGTTATCTCTTTACTTTTTCTACATTTCTACATATATTTCTATATTTATGTCCATGTGTTCTGGTAAGCACCAATATATACCAAGGAAAATTCTTCTTGTGTGAAAATATGCCTGGCAATAACCCCAGTTCTGATTTTGATTCTGCGCACTGACGGACCAAGTGGAGTTGATCATCTTACCAACAACCCCACAGAAGTTAAATAGCTGGGACTCCCTGCCAATCCGTCAGAACTGAAGAACACTACCACGTGAGAGGCCGAACATTTTTGAGCATCTTCATCTCAGTTCAGTTGCTCTTTATTTTAACCTTCATAGGATAACTGTGAGCTGGACCTCTGAGAACCTTCACAGACACGGATTTGCTTATTTGAAATAAATGGAAATGTGAACTTCATATTTTTAGATACTTTCTTCTTGGTTCCTTTTGCTGGTGAGAAGTGTTTGGTAAAATTTCCTGTACTTGCAGACGAAAAAAAAGTCGGTGGATCAGCAGGAACATGATTAAGGAGCTTTATTGGTGCCAAAGTTTCAGGACAAATGCTGCCAAAGCATCAAAATATAATTTGGACAGCATAGCATTAACAGTAACTGAATTACATTCAGTGAGATTGATATATATGATTTATATAAGTTATACAGTACATCCTATTCAATCCCCACTTAAAAGTAATGTTATGGATTAGCCTCCATCTTCCCACTTACATTTCAGCACATCTTCTGACACTGGGTGTGTGTGTGTGTGTGTGTGTGTGTGTGTGTGTGTGTGTGTGTGTGTGTGTGTGTGTGTGTGTGTGTGTGTGTCCTCGGGTTTTGGTATGGTGACACGTATTGCTCAGCAAGATGTGCTGTCTTTTTCTCCTAGGAGCATTTTTAATCTGAGATAAGAGACTGAAACTTGCTAAAGTAAACAGAAATGAGGAAAATATACTTGGAGTTAAAAGCTTTTATAATATAGAAAATATAAATCACAATAGAAACATCAATGCAATTAATTGAAGCAAATAAATGATAAATGTTACAAGTTTACAGCAACAGCATGTTGTGTAAATGAAACCATCGTAGACCATCTTCACTGCTGGTTTGAGGAACCTGACTTCATTGACAAAAGCGGAATATCCTGTTAGGAGGAAACACAAAGGAACAGAATTTATAATGTGAATATAGAATTATAATAACGTACAGGTTCACATTTGGTGATATACACGTTTTAATTTACTGAAAACTGGAAGGCAGCTGAGCGTGGTTTCCTTGCCGCTCGCTCGGCTCTGGTTCTGCCGCTCCCAGCCATCATGGCCTGAAAACCTCCAGTTCTCAGTGCAGGTTGAGACCGCGCAACCCATGAACATGAACTCAGTTGTGTCTGTTAGTGTAATATACTCTGTATTGACTGCTGCTTGTTTGTTTTATTATTGGCTTTATGATGCATCATCCAATGAGTGCTGCATATCATAATCTAGCGAGCAGAGTGTAAAATTATAACATTATAATATAATAACATAAAGGGCAGAATTGTGGTCTCTCTTTGTGGAGTGTGAGGCAAGTATTTGGATGCTGAGTGTTGGTTTGAGAAAGAAAGAAAGTGTTGGACCACATAATGAACAATGAAGTCATTTCATTTAGCTTTATTGGCATGTGTGTGAGGTAAACAATGTTGCCAAAGCAGAAATTTGCATATAAACAGTAATCAAATATATGTACAGTGTCTTACAAGAGTGAGTCCTCCCCTCAAGTTTCTGTAAATATGTGATTCTATCTTTTCATGTTTCAACACTGAAGAAATGACACTTAGCTACAGTGTAAAGTAGTGAGTGTACAGCTTGTATAACAGTGTAAATCTGCTGTCCCCTCAAAATAAGACATCACACATTCAGTTTAGTCATTAATGTCTAAACTGCTGGCAACAAAAGTGACGACACCCCTAAGTGAAAATGTCCAAATTGGCCCCAATTACCCATTGTGTTATTTTGAGGGGACAGCAGATTTACACTGTTATACAAGCTGTAGACTCACTACTTTACACTGTAGCAAAGTGTCATTTCTTCAGTGTTGAAACATGAAAAGATATAATCAAATATTAATAAAAATGTGAGGGGTAGACTCACTTTTGTGAGATACTGTACATATTTATTTTCTTACTGTTTACATGAAAATTTCTGCTTTGGCAACATTGTTTACCTCACACTCATGCAAATGTGTGTGTGTATATATATATAGATAAAAACTCTCTGTTGGGTACTGAGCCTGTGAAGTACTCTCGATAATGTGTATTGTGTTTAAAAATACTACAAATACCACATAGGAAAGGTTGGACTGCGTTGGTGTACCTTCCCAACAACAGAGCAGAATATCCAACAGGTGTAGGTTCTTTACCTGTTCCCCTGCTGCTGCTTCAGGACGGCTTGGCTGGGTGGGATCAGTTCTTCTGCAACACCAACACATTTTACACACTGTTTACCACGATGATGTGTTGCTGCCCACCATGTAACAAACGTAGGTTTGTATAAAAACGATCTCAACATATGATTAACTTCAACAGTTTGAGCTCTTCTAAAATTGTAAATCATATAATAATTAGCAGACTCGTTAGCTCAGAAACAGACCTGAGTTGCTCCTGTTGCTGATCCTGTTGTTGCTCTGGATGTTGCTGCTGCTCCTGAATTTAAATGACAAAAGATGAATTCTGTTGTTATTATCCATTTGTTCTTTTTCTTTTTATTCTGTTTCATGTTTCCTTGTGTTTACGGGTTTTTGAATTAAAAGGGATCAATGTGTAGAACTACACATGATCTGCTAAAAGCTTTGTTTCTGACGTTTGGTCAAGACCCCTTGGTGTCACTTTTTAAGGCCACTGTAAAGTTTTTTAAAGAGGGACAAAGTCCAAACAAACACCGGACTTTTCCCCCGGAGACCCAGAGTTCCCGTGTGGAACTAATAGACAACGTTAACTTCTTTTTAGCTTTAGTTAAGCTACTTAACGCACATAATATACACAACTAACATTAGTTATGTAACTTAACTTACATAATTAATGTACTTCTTTTAACCGAACCATGATCTTTTCTTAAACATGACCAAACTGCGACCATTTCGCAATGTTAACCATGTGTTTTCTGACTGGAAGTCGCAGATGTCCAGATGGGAATGCTTGTATTAATTAATATTATTATTATTCATTTCCTGTTAGATCATAAGGTGGTCCCTGTATGTGAGGTGTTTTGTTTTCATTTTGATTTATGTTCCTGTTGATTATTTACCTGCTTCTTTGCTTTAAGTGTCGGCCGAGTGGAATCATCTTTAATCAGATCTTTAGCCACATCAAAACAGCCCTCCCACTGTTCGCTGCGTAATTTGCTCTCGACTGCTTCAGTCAACGTTTCTTTCGCTGCTTTTGTCAGAATCTCTTTCAGCACATCTTTCTCTTCTTCCAAAATCACTTTGAGGTATGAGGTTTTTCTGTTGCAGCACGCTGAGTCCTTACAGCATTTCTTTCCAAATAATGACATTAAGGCAGCCAACAAAAGGGCACCAAGGAGTATAGAGATGCCAATCATCTGGAAAAGAGACGACAAAGAACAGAAAACTGAGAAACGGCAAGGATATTAGTTTGTTCCCTTGAGGTCTCAGGCTGATGGAACATTCACATATTTCATTTCCCACAAAGCCTCATTTCTATGTGTTTTCCACAGCCATCAGCCAACTAATCGTACCACCACATCCTGTGCATGTTAGGTGCAACAATCACAACATTTGAGATCATAACCTACCTACTATACACAGTGCATGTACACGCTACTGTGAAGTTGCTGTTAGACGCTTCTTCCGATGTTATAGAATTATCTTGAAGCGTAATTATCACATCATCTTAAATAAGATAATTATCTTGTGACGTCCATAAATCTCCACGTAGTACAGCATTATTATCGTTCATAAAATAAAGGAATATCACAGTGACTGGCATGATGCGTAGAAAACCAGAGAAACTCACCCAGGACTCGTTCTTCAGTTCAGCGATGATTTGTTTTTCCTCTGCTGTGATTTCACTCTTGTCTTTGCAGGCTAAATATTTCTGTTTGTCAGACTGATCATTTCGACAGCAAACATACCAGTGCCCATCGATTAACACAGATACAACCCACAGCAGACCGATGAAAGCTGCCTTGATAATGTGATACAATAAAACCCAGAAAAACTTGCATGTGTACCTCCAGGTCCTCCGAAAGGTCTTGTCCACCCCGAGCTGTAAAAAAAACATGATAAAAAACGGCAGACCCATGTAGACGTTGCAGTCACGAGTTTGTTTTCTGCACGAGCACTCCAAATTTTTTTCAAGCACATTATTGTGGATAAAAATCACAATGATTGCGACGTAGCTGCTGAGCGGTTTGAGAGCGAGCTTTGGGAAAATGTTCTTCATCTTTGGTTGCAAAGTTTGCATCTGCTGAGAGCTGCTGCTGGTAACCTCTGAATATACCTACAGGAAACCAGGCTTTTCCTGTTTTCCTTTCATCTCACTAAAATTTAGTGGGGGGTAGAGTACCGTAAATCTGAAAGAATACCATTTGACAAACCAACTCAAGTAAAGTAATAAAGCTGAGGATGAAAGAAGTCGCTGTGGCATGTAAGTCAATGTCTAGCCTACAGTGTTTGTCTGATATAGCATTTTACCGGACTTAGACAAGTCTTACTGGCTTTAAATAGTTATGGCCCATAGAATAATGAACAGATACAGAATAAGAGCCCGTCATCAGTTGGCTGAACGGAGATGATGTGCACGCAGCTTCGTCCTGTTGGCTGATACCACCTTTATCAATGGGACCGAACCCAAAATCCTCCCAAACAGGTGCTGAGGTGTTTCTCTTGTTCACCACTGAGTGAGACAGAGCGAGCAGCAGGTGAGCAGGGAAGTTTAGCTTTAGTTTAGTAAATGCTCAGTGCAGGTTAGAGTCTGTCAGAGAATAAAGGCTGCAGCTAAAGCTCCAGTGTGAGTGTTATTGATCAGCTGCTGGTAAAGTGAAGGGGGTTATGGGGTTGTAGATGATGTCCAACAGTTTTTGCCGACATCGAGGTCGGACACTACAGTACATCAGCTCTATACTGCATCTCCATTTCAGTTTATTGGACAGAACAGCATCTATATTTTTGACGGTACTGAAAGTCAAATCGTGATTACTGATTTTGTATTTGAATACCCTGGTGTACTGTAATACTTTGATAGTGCCCAAGCCTAACTCGGAGGACAAGTTCCTTCGTTTTTTTTAACATTGTTGAGTGCGCAGCCACGCTTTGCATGTTGATCTCTAATTTAGGTATTTCTGTTTAATACAATTCATTTTCTTGTGATTTATGTCTCTACATGGAGACCTCTGCCTCTGTCTCCTAGTGCTGCTCTTGGTGGGAACTGTTGGGCTTCTGTAAATAACATCATAGAGTACGGTCTAGACCTGCTCTTTATGCAAAGCGCTCTGAGATAACTGTTGTTGTGATTTGGTGCTATATAAATAAAATCATACTTGCTGCCTAGCTTATTATTGTTGCCTGTATCTGTTGTTATCTTGCGATGGACGTGCAGCCAACCAAACTTTCTTTTACTCAATGCAAAAATAGGGGAAATAAGCAGGATGAGAATATGTGGATGACAACCTTAACAGTACACTGTTCATAAAGGGAAACAGCCAACGGGTCTTTGTGATCTATGCCATGAGGCTGAGACTGGGATAGACACAGGAAAGACAAGAAATCATGACACCCTGTGGAAAACAGAGCAGCTGGAGGACAAGGTTAAAAGGGTTAAAATGTGGAGACTCTGTTCCATGAAGGGAATGGTTATTTAGTTTTTAAGGACTGGAAAGAGTTTAAAAATGAACTGTGACACTGAGGTGGGATGAAGGGATGAACATCATGGATGTCAGTAGCTGGAAAACCTCAAAGAAGAAGGATGTGCTACAACCTTGTCCTCTGAGAGGGCTGATGGGAAAGGCATAGCATCCTCAACCATGGTGTCATCGGATACGATGCTGAGGAAGCTCGGAGAGGGAGAGTGGTGTTTTGCTGCTAGTCCCTGACACACCGTTCTCATTTCAGGGCAACCGATACCAACGCTTTCAGAAAAAGTGACAAAGTGTAGTTATTTGATGCTAAAGGTCAGCGTCTCTATGAGATGCTCCCAGATGCGTCTGTATGAGACGCTCTGGGGTGTGTCGACCGGCTAACCCTACAGCTGTGCTAGCAAAGCAAGTACAGTTTTAAAAGGAATCTAAAAGGTTTGTGTAACTTGTAATGAGTTACTAACCACTTTCAGCTCGCCTTGGACCTGCTGTACAGCATGAAGGAGTCCACCTCAACACCAAGTCTTCTTGGGGTGTTAGTTAGTTAGTGTTTCCTGTTTTACTTTGTAGTTGTGCTGTCCCTGGTGTTGTTGTCTTGTTTGTCTTCCTGTCTCTTTGTTCACTGATTGTTGGATGTGGATCACCTGTGTCTCGTTATCCTCACCCCACCTCTGTCTTTAAATAGTTGTCTGTCTTTCACTCTTTGCAGGTTCATTGTTTCTTGCCTTGTGTTCCTGGATTATTACCCTCTGGATATTATTCTGGAATTTCACTGTCTGTTTGCGTCTTCATTGTCACAGCTCAGGTGCTATCTATCAACATGGGTTCACCTGCTGGCTATAATTTATAAAAATGACTTTCCTGCTTTCTGTCACTAAAGTTGAAGCTGCTCTAAAGTGTGTACACTCAGCAACACACCATAACAGGAAGTCCTTCCCGTCACTGTTTCATCACAGAAAAGTTCCACCTTTAAACTCTCCCATAGTTCATTACTAAGGTAAGGAAAGGTAAACCACATTGTCACATAAATTCATACATTTCTGCTTTTAACCCATCCCCTAAGGGAGCAGTGGGCCGCCACTGTGCAGGGCCCGGGGACCAACTCCAGAAGAAGACTGAACGTACATTTGAAGTTTAGCTAACTGATGAGTTTCATCTTGCTTGATCGATAAATATAACTATCTGCAAAACTATTCAGGCTTTTTTCCCTTATATTTATGAGGTCTGGTAATATTTTTTTTAAATGGGGTATGTATATTGTTATTATAACACTTTGTATAAGATACTGTTTTTGTGGGAGTCAGGTTATGCATGGATTGTGCTTGTCACATGACCTGCACAGGATCTACTTAACACACCTGCTTTTGTAATTTCACTGTCTGAGCCTTGAAGAAGCAATGGGCGAAACGCGTTGCTCACAAATAAAGTAGTAAGTCAGATCAGTGTGCGGTAGTTTGTTTTTGATTTATCCTGCTATCTACCAGCACCTCATTGTGTTGCTGTGCTCGGGGAATTTTTTGTCTTTGTTATCCTGAAGGCACATTTGAAGTTTAGCTAACTGATGAGCTTCATCTTGTTTGATCGATAGATATAACTGAGTATCATCTGCATAACAATGAAAGTTTATGGAGTGTTTCCTGATAATATTGCCTAAAGGAAGCATATATAAAGTGAAGAGGATTGGTCCGAGGACAGATCTTTGTGGAACTCCATGACTAACTTTGGTGTGCATGGAGTACTCATCGTTAACATGAATAAAAAAATTCTGATAAATAGGACTTAAACCAGCTTAGAGCGGTTCATTTAATGCCAATGAAATGTTCCAGTC